TCTGAGTGAGTTCTCGACGAGTTCTTTTTTCTTTTTTAAGATTTTATTTTTATCTATTTGACAGAGAAAGTGAGCGAGCACAAGCAGGGGGAGCAGAGGGAGAGTGAGAAGCAGACTCCCCACTGAATAGGGGGCTCCATGCGGCCCTTGCTCCCAGGACCCCGAGATCCTGACCTGAGCTGAAGGCAGACGCTTAGCCAACTGAGCCACTGAGGCGCCCTCATTAGTTCTTTCATATGAAAGATTGAAGGTCTTTAGGTCCTGGATTCACCTCCTATTGTGGCAGTAAAAAGGACCGCAAGAGATTATTCACAGAAATGTTTCCTTCTTACCCAGGCAGTAATGGGGAAGAAAGATAGTAATACACATTTATTACAAGGGTATCGTGGCAGTTTAAGTATATTTATAACTTGTTTTTCACTAGTTTGATAAAAATATAAAAGTGGGAAGAACCTTTTGTTGCTCTCTGATATTTTAAGTATAAAAAGTGAGTAGTAATTCCCATAGCTCAGTGGGTAGAATCTGGCAGGCAAGCTGTTTTGTTGACTTTCTTACTGTGATCACGCAGCCTTCAGTGTTTCCCAGACAAAAGTAATTTGGGGACCTGTGGGAGGCCGCAATAAGGCTTGAGACGAGGACCAAACCAGGCCCCGACTTGTGCCTCCTTTAAAGTCTGAATAACCTAACAAAAGGTTTAGGACGGGAAAAGTTGAGTAGCACCGAGAAAGGGTCTGTGCTATGTGTTGTGCGGTGGCCTACGTGACTTCCCACACGCTTGCTAAACAAATGAGAACAATTCGGTTGGGGTCGTAAGTTCATGGCTGGTCCTTGCTGCCCTAGTACATCCCATAAATTACTTTCAGGTTTGCTCTATCAATACGGAACAATTGTACTGGCATCAGCCGTTTGGCATCACGAGGTCTGCTTACAGTTAATTGTGAAACTTATTATGGGAACTCGTGGTTAACTAGACACAGATGTATTGCTTCTCCTATTGTAATATCACTATATATATGGCCTTAATGCTTTGAATAAACTTAGCACTGTTGGACATCCTCCTCAGTGCTCCTCCTGCCCCCATCTCTCTGCTTCTCGAGTTCTCTTCTTCATCCTCTTACTCTCACATTCCTGGTTGATTTGTTGCATCGGCCGTGACAAGTGGCGCCCGAACAGGGACCTGAGAACATTTCAAGGGAGTGCACATACAGGCAAGTAGTTGTCGACAGTCAGGTAAGAGGAGCCCGGGTTGACGGGTGACAGCAGGAGTAAAATAACATGGGGTATTCTCAATCCTTAGAACAGGATCTTTCTGTTAGTGCATTGCAGGCCCTTTTAAAACAGAAAGGGTTGAAAGTCTCTAAGAAGGCTTTACACCAATTTTTTGGCATGGTTTCTGATCTCTGCCCCTGGTTCCCGAAAGAAGGAACAGTAAATCTGCAAGCCTGGCAGAGAGTGGGGCAGGAGATTGGAAATCAATTAAAAATTAGGGGGTCATGTGCTTGCCCTGAAGGAACAATGAAAAATTGGGAGGATATTCGGGAAGTTTTAGATCCGCAACACTCTGTAGATTTAACACCTATAGCCTCTCAGGACTCCCCCTGTGATTTGGTAGTAGATGAGCAAGAGGATGTGTATGAGCACTTGGGCACAGATATTCCTCCTCTCTTTCCTGAGTTAATCGCTGGTCTCGCTGGTTCACAATCAGACCCTTCAGACACCCCTGAGGATGGAGTGCCTTTGGATAACAAATGGAATTAAATTATGGACATCTAGGTCTTAACCAAATGGAATAAAATGCTAAAGCATTGAGTACTTGATGTAGGTTTATGCTTTTGACTTCTTACTGCAAAGAAACCAAGAATAAACATGTTTTATGCTTAACTGTTTCATAATTTGCCTTCTAAAAAATTCTGTTGTAACTGTTCACAATTGGTTTATATTTTGTCTTCACTAGAGATTAAGATATTTCTAAGAGTATAAAATTCTGCTAACTGTAAGGCTGATGGAAATAAGGAAAGCAACCCTGTATGTAGGAAAGTAGGAGATTTGTAAGAAAGATTTAAGGAATGAGAACATATTTTGTTAAAAGTAAAAGAAGGTAATTGTGTCCTAAATGAGATGGTTGTTTGGAAGGAAATGACTTGGGACAAAACCTGAATGCAAAAGCAAGTTGTAAAAGGTTTGTGAGGGGAAATCTTCAGAAAAAGAATTTTAGGTATGGTCAAGATGGACTAAGATTAACTGTACACACAAAAAAGATGGCCTAAAAGAATGAGTAGTTTTGTCTTAAAGTGAAAATATCTGGTTACACCAGAACATGAAAGGAGATAAACCTGAGGGTATATAGTAAGTCGTAAAAGGCTTGGGGGAAGTGACTTTTATTTGCCTTGGTTTATGGGTTTAATCCTGGAAATATGATGAAATATTCCTTGGATTCTTATCGTAATCTTTACAATATTAGCTGTACTACTTGTGGGTTGGGGTGTTTCCCTGTTTCGTACTGGGCAGTAACAATTACATACGCAAGCACAAATTCATATGCTTGACTTATTTAAAAAGGAAGGGGGAGATGGGGGAGGCCGCAGTAAGGCTTGAGACGAGGACCAAACCTGGCCCCGACTTGTGCCTCCTTTAAAGTCTGAATAACCTAACAAAAGGTTTAGGACAGGAAACGTTGAGTAGCACCGAGAAAGGGTCTGTGCTGTGTGTTGTGCGGTGGCCTACGTGACTTCCCACACGCTTGCTAAACAAATGAGAACAATTCGGTTGGGGTCGTAAGTTCATGGCTGGTCCTTGCTGCCCTAGTACATCCCATAAATTACTTTCAGGTTTGCTCTATCAATACGGAACAATTGTACTGGCATCTGCCGTTTGGCATCACGAGGTCTGCTTACAGTTAATTGTGAAACTTACTATGGGAACTCGTGGTTGTTTAACTAGACACAGATGTATTGCTTCTCCTATTGTAATATCACTATATATATGGCCTTAATGCTTTGAATAAACTTAGCACTGTTGAATATCCTCCTCAGTGCTCCTCCTGCCCCCATCTCTCTGCTTCTCGAGTTCTTTTCTTCATCCCCTTACTCTCACATTCCTGGTCGATTTGTTGCGCCGGCCGTGACAGGAACCATATTTGGGATTTTGGCCATATCTGCTTGCCTGTACTGTGCTTTGCTTAATATTTGTTTTTCAATTTACTTTGAATTGATTCATCTTTTAAATTTAGCATTCTTCTAAGTAGTAAACCATTAAAACATGTTTTTGTTGGGGCGCCTGGGTGGCTCAGTGGGTTAAAGCCTCTGCCTTCAGCTCAGGTCATGATCCCAGAGTCCTGGGATCAAGCCCCGCATCGGGCTCCCTGCTCGGCGGGGAGCCTGCTTCCTCCTCTCTCTGCCTGCCTCTCTGCCTACTTGTGATCTCTGTCTGTCAAATAAATAAATAAAATCTTTAAAAAAAAAACAAAAAAAAAAACAAAAAACATGTTTTTGTTTCCTTATACACATGAAAATATGTAATTATTAAAATAATGTCCTTTTAACTACATGAAAACATCTTTTATACCAATGCTGCATATTTATACTTCGGGAAATAGTGCTTTGCTTCATCCCTGAGGCCACACTGGTAGTTTTTTGTAAACTTTTGGTAAATCCATAGCTGCTGAGTGGCTCTGTGAATTTCAAAGAATTGATATCTTTCTGCTTTCAACTTTGGTAGAGAAATTACTAGTTAGTGCTTAAGTGTGAGGTAAAGGATTAATTGCCCCTAAAATGTTGACTAGGTTGTTAAGAGTGATCTGCAAGGGGCGCCTGGGTGGCTCAGTGGGTTAAGCCTCTGCCTTAGGCTCAGGTCATGATCCCAGGGTCCTGGGATGGAGCAGCTCCTCTGCTCAGCGGGAAGCCAGCTTCCTCCTCTCTCTTTGCCTGCCTCTCTGCCTACTTGTGATCTCTGTCTGTCAAATAAATAAATAAAATCTTAAAAAATAAAAGAGTGATCTGCAAGTCCTAGCACATAAAGAGCCTTTCGAGCTTTTCTCCAGAACATGTTGGACAAGACGTTTAACTTTTGTAAGCCCTAGTTTCCTTATTTTTAAAGATGAGGCTGTATTATTTAACACATGGGGTTATTCTGAAGATTAAATAAAATGTATGTTAAAAGGCTTAGCAGTGGCAGGCACCCTTTCTACTGCTGATGGACATTTGGATTGTTTCTGGTTTGGGACTATTTTGAATAAAGTTGATATGAATCTTTTGTTTTTAAGATTTTATTTATCGGGGTGGCTCAGAGGGTTGAGCATCTGCCTTCGGTTCAGGTCATGATCTCAGAATCCTGGGATTGAGCCCTGCCTCAGGCGCTCTGCTCATCTTTAAAGATTTTATTTATTGGAGGGAGAGAGAGTGAGAGGAAAAGAGGGCACGAGCAGGGAGGAGGGGCCGAGGGAGAAGGAGAGGCAGGGAGCCTGACGTGGGACTTGATCCAAGGACCCTGGGATCATGACCTGACCCAAAGGCAGACGCTTAACTGGCTGAGCTTACCCAGGTGCCCTGCTTATTACTGTTTTAAAATTGGAATATTTGTCCTTTTCTTACGGATTTCTATATTGACTGTGGATGTGAGTCTTTTGGATATAGGTATTTTCTCCTAGTCTGTGGCTTTCATTTTTACTTTCTCTTAATGATGTCTTTTTTAAAATTTAAATTCAGTTAATTAACATATAATGTATTATTGGTTTCAGAGGTAGAGGTCAGTGATTCATCAGTTTTATGTAACACCTAGTGCTCATTACATCACATGCCCTCCTTAATGTCTATCACCCAGTTACCCCATCCTCCCATTAATGATGTCTTTTAATGAACAAAAACTCTTAATTTTGATGGAGTCTAATTTGTCATTTTTTCTTTTATTGTTTGTGCTTTTGTGTCATTTAAAAAGTTTTTGCTTTTCCCATGTTCAAAAATACAAATTTAAAAACTAATTTTTTTTTCTCTACAACAATCTAGGTGATGCCATGGAGAGTGGAAAGCCTGGCCCAGTGCAGGTTGTTTTGGTTCAGAAAGACCAGCATTCCTATGAGCTAGAAGAGAAAGCCTTGGCCAGCATTCTTTTACAGGACCACATCCGAGACCTTGATGTGGTGGTGGTGTCAGTGGCTGGTGCCTTCCGAAAGGGCAAGTCCTTCTTCCTGGACTTCATGCTACGATATTTATATTTCCAGGTAAACTAGAATTGTTTCATTTCAGATTGGAAAATGAGACTTTTGTGTCCAAAAGAGCAAAATAAGCTCGTTGATTATCCTTGATATGTAAAATTACTCAAAATTTAAGACTTAATGGAGATTTCTTTTTTTTTCCTATAGAAGGAAGGTGGTCATTCAAATTGGTTGGGTGACTCAGAAGAACCATTAACAGGGTTTTCATGGAGAGGGGGCTCTGACCCAGAAACAACAGGGATTCAGATCTGGAGTGAAGTTTTTACTGTGGAGAAGCCTGGTGGGAAGAAGGTAAGGAAGAAAAGACTTGTTAATTAACAAAAACAACAAAAGGACAAGAACTTTAATGTGTACTCTGATAATTCATCTGAAAATAATGTAAGTGCATGGTTTAAAAATAACACGAGTGTGTATATATATATATATATATATATATATTTAAGATTTTATGTATTTATTTGACACAGAGAGAAAGAGATCACAAGTAGGCAGAGAGGCAGGCAGGGAGAGAAGAAGGAAGCAGGCTCCCTGCTGAGCAGAGAGCCCGACATGGGGCTCGATCCCAGGACCCTGAGATCATGACCTGAGCCGAAGGCAGAGGCTTAACTCACTGAGCCACCCAGGCGCCCACACGAGTATATTTTAAAAAGTCAAATAGTAATATAAGGTTTCTTTTTTTTATTTAAAAAAATTTTTTTTAAACTTTTTTTTAAAGATTTTATTCATTTATTTGACAGAGATGACAAGTAGGCAGAGAAACAGGCAGACAGAGAGGAGGAAACAGGCTCCCTGCTGAGCAGAGGAGTTGCTCTATCCCAGGACCCTGGGATCATGACCTGAGCTGAAGGCAGAGGCTTTAACCCACTGAGCCACCCAGGCACCCCTATTTTTTTAAATTTTTAAAAAAGATTTATTTGAGAGAGAGGAAGAACGCATGAGCAGGGGGAGGGGCAGAGGGAGAAGCAGGCTCCCTGCTGAGCAGGGAACCCTATGTGGAGCTCCATCCCAGGACCCTGGGATCATGACCTGAGCCGAAGGCAGATGCCCAACCGACTGAGCCACCCAGGCACCTCAGTAATATAACGTTTCTAACAAATAGTAGCTATCAGAATCAAAAGGTAGCTCTCAAGTGCCCTGTTCTTCCCTCTGCTTGTTTTCACTTCCCAAGGGTTAATGACCTCAAGTGTTTCAGATGTTACTTCTCTTCTTTACTTTCTTACTCCTGTGAGGGTAGCATAGACCTGGCTGCCACTCTTGTGGGAGCTGAGCAGATACAGGACACTGGGGCATCTCACATGCAGATGTGAGCACCCCACCTGCCTCCCCCTCAGCCATCAGTAGACCTCCTACCCCATTTCTTCTGTGTCCAGTAAGTGACTGTCCTATAGCCTCCCTCACTTTTTTTTGTCCGGAGCAAGTCCTGTCATGTGTCTTCTCAAAGTGGCAGAGAGGATTTGGGGGTGTCGCTGTTTCTTAAACAGATTTTAACCCATTCCTTCTGTTTTTAGTTTCGTCTTAAAGCATGCTTTCACAGCTGTCAGTAATACAGCTGCTCTTCAATCTGGCATTTCAACAGGCCCTACAATTTTCATTTTAGTCCTGTTGTTTTGTATCATTTCTCTCTTTCTCCTTTTCTGGTAATGTGTGGTAGTTGCTTTCATAATTTTCTTTTTAGGAATAAAGAATTACTTTGTACCATATGATCCCTTTCTATAGAATTGGTGGGCAACTTCTGTATTTTTCATAATAGTTTAGGAAATCTTTACACTCTTACTAGTGAGCAAGCTTTGCTTTTAGTTATCTAACATTTGTAGTGTCCTCTTTTTTTTTTTTTTTATCTTGTTGAATTGACTCCTTTATAAAGCTCAATGTTTTTTGACATCATTTTGGTTTCCTGACCTTTAGAAACATTAATAGACTTTATTTTTTAGGACAGTGTTAGGTTTATAGGTAAGTTGATCAGAAAATGCAGAGTTTCCAGATGGCCCTTCCCCTTGCCAGTTTCTGTCTACTATTTATATCTTGTATTAGTGTGATGCATTTGTTATAATTAATGAACCAGTATTTTTTTTAAAAAGATTTCATTTATTTATTTGATAGAGACAGAGATCACAAGTAGTCAGAGAGGCAGGCAGAGAGAGAGAGGGGGAAGCAGCCTCCCGCTGAGCAGAGAGCCCAATTCGGGGCTCTATCCCAGGACCCTGAGATCATGACCTGAGCCGAAGGCAGAGGCTTAACCCACTGAGCCACCCAGGCGCCCCAATGAACTAATATTGATATACTATTATTAACTAAAGCCCATGGTTTGCATTAGGGTTCCCTCTTTGTGTTTATGTTCTCTGGGTTTTGATAAGTGTGTAATAGTGTGCAGCCGCCGTTGCTGTCTCAGACAGTAGGAACACTGCCGGAAAACCCTGTGCTCCACCTCTTTGCTCCCGCCTCCTCCTCAAACTCCTGGCGACCACTGATCTTCACACTGTCTCCAGAAATCTGCATTTTCTAGAATGTCATGTAGTTGGAATCCTACAATGTGTAGTCTTTTCTGATTGCCTTCTTTCACTTAGCAGTGTGCTTTCATGGTTCCTCACTTTTTTTTATAACTTGATAGCTCTTTTCTTTTTATCATTGAATAATATTCCATTGTCTGAACGTACCACGGTGTATCCATTCACCTACTGAAAGACTTATTTGCTTCCAGTTTCGACAATTATGAATAAAGCTGCTGTGTAAGCATTTGTGTTGAAACATGAGTTTCAACTAATTTGGGTAAATACCAAGGACACTGATTGTCGGATTGTATGGCAAGGTGATATTTAGTTTTGTAAGAAACTGTCAAACTGTCTTCCAAAGTACCTGTATCATTTTGCATTTTTTCCAGCAATGAATGTGAAAGCTCTCTAGTTCTGCATCCTTGTCTGCATTTGATGTTGTCAGTCTTCTCGATTTTTGCCATTCCAGTAGAGGTGTAGGGATAGCTCACTGTTGCATTTCTACTCTTTTTAAAAAATATTATGTTCAGACATTCAGCAGGATCAGGAGAGCTTTCAAAAATCAATATAATATTGGGGAAATGTCATACGAATAAGCAGTTTTTTAGAAGTTACCCAAATAACAGTTTTGTATGGTTTTCTTGTTTTTTAATATAGCTGGTGAGATTTTAGCTTACAATTTATCTGGCTAAAGAAATAGATAATTGGGGGGGGCACCTGGGTGGTGGCTCAGTTGGTCAAGTATCTGACTCTTAATTCTGGCTCGGGTCGTGATCTCAGGATGATGATGTCAAGCCTCTGCTTGTGCATTCTTTCTTCCTCTCTTAAATAAATAAAATCTTAAAAAAAAAAGTAGATTATTTGTTTTTACTTTTTAATTGAAAATCTACATTCTTAAGTATGTGGCTTCAGTTTATATTTTTTTTAAAAGATTTTTTTTTTTTTAATTTATTTATTTGACAGACAAGTAGGCGGAGAGGCAGGCAGAGAGAGAGAGAAGGAAGCAGGCTCCCCGCTGAGCAGAGAGCCCGATGTGGGGCTCGATCCCAGGACCACCGATCTCAGGACCCTGGGATCATGACCTGAGCCGAAGGCAGAGGCTCTAACCCACTGAGCCACCCGGGCGCCCCCAGTTTATTCTTTTTAACTGTTATGTGGTAGTCTTCATATGAATATATCTTCTTTTATTTGCCCATTTACCCACTGGTGAACATGTAGATTGTTTCTTTCTTTTTTTTTTTTTTTTTTTTTTTAAATTTTTATAATCCTTGCTACAGTGAATGATCTGTTAAATGTCACCTTGAGTAAATGTGCAAGCGTGACTCCAGGTTCTTTGAACTCTGACCTTGACCCGTTAATGGTAGAGAAATGAATTTATCGGTTCATGACCAGTATTTAAAAAGAAAAAACTAGAGAGGTGCCTGGGTGGCTCAGTGGATTAAGCATCTGCCTTTGGCTCAGGCCATGATCTCAGGGTCCTGGGATCGAGCTCTGCATAGGGCTCTAGCCTGCTTCCTCCTCTACCTCTGTCTGCTGCTCTGCCTACTTGTGATCTCTGTCAAATAAATAAATAAAATCTTAAAAAAAAAACTAGGACAGTAGAAGAGTGTTAGAGTGCAGTACACAGATAAATTTAGTTTTAGCCTTATGTATGTGTGTATTTAGTCAGAATGTTAAGTATACTTTTCTTTGTGTTCTGGTTCAGAACATTAGAAAGCCACTTGGAAGTGGAATTGCTAGGTCCGAGAGGCCCATTCCACCTTTTCTAGCTTCTGCCAAATTGTTCTTGACAGGGTTTATGACAGTTTACCATTTCACTGCATGAAAAGAATACCATTTCCCCCAAATATGCAGCACTTTATCTGAGTGTATGTAGGACTCCTGTTCCTCAAGAGCCTGTCTTTAGTCTTCTTGTTTCCCTGATACAGGTTTATTTTTCTAGTTAGTAAAAGTACATAATTCAGCAATTTTTAGTATAGTCATGAGGCTGAGCAAGTATCACCACCATCTACTTCTGGAAAATTTTCATCACCCCAGAAAGAAACTCACTACTCATTAGCAGTCACTCCCCATTTCCCTCCTATCCCAGCCCCTGGCCACTATTGATCTACTTCTCCACAGATCTGTTTGCCTCTTCTGGGCATTTCATACAAACAGAGTCATAAAATCTGCGGTCTCTGTGTCTGGCCTCCCTGACCCCTCTACCCAACCAGCCCGGTGCTGGTGATTCCAGCCCAGTGCCCTCAAGACCCACCCACGACGTAGAATGCATCAGTACTTCATTTCTTCTTGTGGCTGCATAATACTGTGTTGTGTGGACATGTCACACGTTATCTTTTCATCATTTGAAGGATTCTTACGAATCATGCTACCATGAACATTCATGTACAAGTATGGATATCCTTTCTTCTTCCTTGTTTTTACTGTGGTAAGGGCACTTAACATGAGATGTACCCTTTTAATAACATTTCAAGTGTGCAGTGTAATATTGTCCGCTATGGGCACCGTGTTGTGTAGCAGATTTCAAGAACCCATCTGTCTTGCATCACAGAAACTTTATACCCATTAAACAAGTCTCGTTTCCCCTTCTCCCCTGCCAGCCACCATTCTACTCTCTATTTCTCTGAGTTTGACTGTTTAGATACCTCACATAAGTGGAATCAAGAAGTATTTGTCCTTCTGTGACTGGCTTATCTCAGTTCATATCCTCCAGGTTCATTCGTGTCGTCGCACATGGCAGGATTCCTTCCTCTTTAAGGCTCAGTGGTATTCCATTGTAGGTAGATACCACATTTTCTCTATTCCTTCATCAGCTGATGGGCATTTACGTTGTTTCCATGTCTGGGCTGTTGTGAATCATGCGGCAGTGAACCTGGGAATGGAGGTATCTCGAGATACTGGTCTGAATTTTTGGGGTTATATACCCAAAGAGGATTTGCTGGATCATAAAGTAGTTCTATTTTTATTTTTTAATTTTTATTATTTTTAAAAAAGATTTTATTTATTTATTTGACAGACACAGAGCAAGAGAGGGAACATAAGCAGAGGGAGTGGGAGAGGGGAGAAGCAGGCTTCCCACTGAGCAGGGAGCCCAATGTGGGGCCTGATCCCAGTACGTGGGATCATGACCTGAGGCGAAGGCAGATGCTTCACTTGACTGAGCCATGCAGGTGCCCCAAGTAGTTCTATTTTTAATTTTTTGAGGAATCTCCATTCTATTTTCCATAGAAGCTGTATGATCAGAGGCTCTGATTTCTCCACATCCTCACCAACACTTATTATTTCTCTCTTTTTTTCAAAGTAATCTCTGTGCCCAGCCTGGGGCTTGAACTCATGACCCTTGAGATAAAGAGTCACCTGCTCTACCGACTGAGCCAGCCAGGTGCCCCTATTTCTCTTGTTTTTTGATAATACCCATTTTAGTAGGTGTGAAAGGGTATCTCATTGTGATTTTGATTTGTATTTTCCTTTTTTTTCGATTTTATTTATTTTTATTTGAGAGAGAGGTAGTGAGAGAGCATGAGCAAGGGGAGATGGTGAAGCAGGTTTCCCACCGAGCAGGGAGCCTGATGATGGGCTCGATCCCAGAATTCTGGGATCATGACCTGAGCATAAGGCAATTGCTTAATGGACTGAGCCACCCAGGCATCCCTGATTTGTGTTTTCCTGATGATGAGTGATATTGAGTACCTTTTCACATACCTGTTGGCCATTTGTATGTCATCTTTGGAGAAATGTCTATTCAGGTCCTTTATTTAATTATATTCTAATTAGAATAATCTTTCCTTTCTGATGAGTTGTAGGATTAAGCATGTTTTCATTACTTCCGGGAATATATGTGGGAGTAGAGTTTCTGGGTTGTATGGGAACTCCATAGCTAACCTTCGAAAAACTGCAGAAATGCTTCCCAAAGCAGCTGTAGCACCCTGCATTCTCACTGGAAATGCAGGAAGCTCCCAGGCTTGCCATATGCTTGCCACACCTGATCTTGTTTGTCTTTTTGATTATAGTCAGCATAGATGGGAAGTAGTATCTCATGTGGTTTTATTTTTCTAATTAAAAAATTTTTTTTAATTCTTTTTGTTTTTTTAAAGATTTTATTTATTTATTTATTTGACAGAGATCACAAGTAGGCAGACAGGCAGGCAGAGGGAGAGGGGAAAGCAGGCTCCTTGCTGAGCAGGGAGCCTGATTCGGGGCTCGATCCCAGGACCCTGAAATCATGACCTGAGCCGAAGGCAGAGGCTTAACCCACTGAGCCTTCCAGGCGCCCCAAAATTCTTTTTTAATTCTTGAAGGATAATTGAGATACATATAACGTAACTGTTACATTACTTTCAGCCTCTTGATTTGATAGTTCTGTACATTATTCATTGCTCACTGTGGTAAGTGTAGTCCTCCTCTGTTGCCACACAGTGTTATTCCAGTATCATTGATTATATTCCGCGTGCTGTACTTTTCATCTTCTTAACTTCTTTTATTACTGGAAATTTGTACCTCTTAGTCCCCTTCACTTATTTCATCTGTCCTCCTATCCACCTCCCTCTGGCAACCACTAGTTCTCTGTATTCAAGAGTACTTTTGTTTTGTTTTTTAGATTCTACATATAAGTGAAATTGTATTTGTCTTTCTAAGTCTCACTTATTTCACTTAGCTTAATACTAACTGGGTCCATCCATGTTGTTGCAAATGGCAAGATCTCTCTTTCTCTTTTTCTTTTTTTATGGCTGAGTAATATTCAAAGATGTATACCACATCTTCTCTATCCAGTTATGTATTGGTGGACACGGGCTGCTTCCATATCTTGGCTCTTGTAAATAAGGCCCCAATAAACACAGGGTGGGTGCATGTACCTTTTCATGTTAGTGTTTTCGTTTTCTTCGGGTAAATACCCAGTAGTGGAACTAATTGGATCATATGGTATTTCTATTTTTAGTTTTTTTGAGGAACCTCCCTACTGTTTTCTAAGGTAGCTGTACCAGTTTGTATTCCTGCCAATGGTGGTTGAGTGTTCTTTTTTCTCCACATTCTCATCAACACTTGTTATTTATTTTTAATTTTTTGAGGAAATTTCATACTGTTTTCCACAGTGGTTACACCAGTTTACATTTTCACCATCAGTGTATGAGGGTTCTGTTTTCTTCACAATGTCACCAACACTTATTTTTTAATTTTATTTAATTAATTTATTTTTTTTAAAACTTTTATTTATTTATTTGACAGAGATCACAAGTAGGCAGACAGGCAGGTAGAGGGAGAGGGGAAAGCAGGCTCCTTGCTGAGCAGGGAGCCTGATTCGGGGCTCGATCCCAGGACCCTGAGATCATGACCTGAGCCGAAGGCAGCGGCTTAACCCACTGAGCCACCCAGGCGCCCCTTAATTTTATTTTTTATTATTAATCCCTATACCAGTGTGGGGCTCGAACTCATGACCCTGAGATCAAGAGTTGCATGCTCTGCCCACTCAGCCAGCCAGGCACCCCTTGTTATTTCTTTTTGATACTGTCCATTCTGACTGATACCTCATTGTGGTTTCGATCCGTATTTCCCTGATGATTATTAATGAGGTTGAGCATCTTTTCATGTGTCTGTTGGCCATTTGTATGTCTTTTTGGGAAAAACGTCTACTCAGATCCTCTGCCTACTTTTTAATCAGAATGTTTCCTTTTTGGTCTTGAGTTGTAGAAGTTCTTTATATATTTAGGTATTAACCCCTTACCAGATACATCATTTGCAGATATTTTCTCCTATTCTGTAGTGCCTTTTTGTTTGGTTGATTGTTAACTTTGCTATATAAAAGCTTTTTTTTTTTTAATTTAAAATTTTTTAATTTTGTTTGAGGCTGGCTAGAAACTTTATTTGGTTTGATCTTATCTTTCTATTCGGCATAATGCTTTCTTTTGTGTGGATTTTTACATTTGTTCTACCACAGTGGGGATTAGGGGTATGAAAATAAACTAAAAAATATAAAATGGGATTAATGGGACCTGATCTATAAGTAACAGAAAAGTGATAATCATATTATTTTGTGAATAAAAATATCTGAATGACTGGCTTGGTAAGTGAGTTAATTTGTCTCAACATTTGACTCTCTTAATTGGTGAGGCTCTGTGGGTCTCTGTTTCATACCATCAGGCCAGAGCAGATAATCTCCAGGAAAATTCTCCGATCAAGACAAGGCACTTCAATAACTACTTTTCTGTGGAATTACAAACAGGTGCCAAAGCCTCATTTAATTGTCACCTGTACTTCTCAGTTTCTTCTCTGTGTTCTTCCCCTTCTCACTCTAACATTTCTTGTTGGTATTTCCCTTCCTCTTAGGTCGCAGTTGTTCTGATGGATACCCAGGGGGCATTTGACAGCCAGTCTACTGTGAAGGACTGTGCCACCATCTTCGCTCTAAGCACCATGACTAGTTCTGTTCAGGTATCACCACTTGATTAAGCTAAAAGTTTGCAGAGGAAATAAGGCAAAGGGAGAGTATATCCGTTTTCAATTGTTCTGTTATCAGAATGCCTAGATGATGTGTAAATGTTCTTTTTAGGCTATAGGTATAAATTAAGCTCAAGAAAGAGCTTAACTGTTTTTCCAGTTCGGTTATAAGTATGTATAAAATACTCCAAGAAGAGTCTGAAAAGTGGAAATTGAAATTACTTTAATTACACAGGAAATAGAGATTTGGTAAGAACTTAGAAAAACTGATTTTAAGCTGTAAAGGAAGAATTAGGTGGTTTCAGCATTATATGCATAGTTTTCCAAAAGACAGGTAATATTGTTTGAACAGACCTCATGTTCTTACGTGTAAACCTTTAGTTGTACAAAGCTTCTTTCCAATGCTCTAGGCTTATTTGGGATTCCTTTGAAGTGAAGCTAGAGAGTGGTTATCAATCTGGATTTTTCTTTTCTAGATTTATAATTTGTCCCAGAACATTCAGGAAGACGATCTTCAGCAGCTTCAGGTATGTATTCATCATAAAGAGTTTAACGTCATAATGTATCATTTAAAAGTTTTAAGACTAAGGGAAATTTTAAAGCTGAATAGGTTTAGTAATGGATAGAACTATGGGGAGGAGGTTTTTGGCTCACAGTGGTCCTGTACCCTGTTACTGCGGGATAATCAGGTAAGGCCTTACTGAGTTGAGCACAGAACCCAAGAAAGAGAGAGAGTAAGTCCTGCTGTATATCTGGGGAGGAAGTGGTATAGGACAAGGGGGCAGCAAGAAGAAAGACCTGAACTGTAGGGTGCTTGGCAGGATCGAGGAACAGCAAGGAGGCCAGTGGTTAGGACTAGGAGGTATGATAGGAGGAGGCTTGTGTGTGTGTGTGTGTGTGTGTGTGTGTGTGCGCGCGCGCGCCTGTGTGTGTGCACACGATGCGGAGGGACAGGAGAGGGAGAATCTTAAGCAGACTCGTGCTGAGTGCAGAGCCTGAGGTGGGCGTTGATCTCACAACCCTGAGATCATGACCTGAGGCAAAAATCGGGAGTCAGGCTCTTCACACTGAGCCACCCAGGTGCCCTGTGACAGGAGGAGGCTTAGTGATAAAGTCAGAGAGGCATTTAGGTCCTGCTGATGCTTGACCTTTGCCAAGGACTTGGGCTTTTCGTCACAGGGAATGGATATAGGAGGCATGTTTTGAGGAGAGGAGCGATATTTGAGCAGAGGATCACTCTGGCTGTTTAGATATATAGGGACAGGTGTGCATTTAGTGACGCTATTGCAAAAATCCAGGTGAGGCTAGGAATGGTTATTTATAAAATGCGTAGCATTATGTGCCTAGAAAAGAGTATGTGCTTAATAACTGTGAGCCGTTATTTATTATTACTGTTACTACTACTACTATTAGTCGTTGTCTTTTGTTTTCCATGCAGCCCTTCTTACATGTTATTCCTGTAAAATACTCTTCCAGGGGTATTCCAGAGTTGAATGAAATTCTTGGCATGTTTTTTTGATCGCACTTGTCCCTTTGACACTCAAGAAAACATATCGACCTGCAGAGCAGTACGTGTGTCATTTATTATGGGGATCACTTTGAGTTAGCTCTAATTTATAGTCCTTTAAAAAGCAAAGAAAATAATTCCTCAACTTTGGCTTGTACTTTGTAACTGGCGGTTCTGCTCTGGGGGTTGAGAGCTGTTGTTCCTGAAACATTTCCAGCAAGACCCGAGTTTGACACCTTTTCGCCTGACACTTCTTTGTATTCTCCTTCGTTTCGCACACGTTTTTGAACACCGAGCTGTGTGCGGCAGCGGACCCCGTGCCCCAGACACACTCATGTTTGAGGTGACGTAGTTCTTTATGGATCGTGTCATCAGTCGGTCAGAGGTCCTCATGAGTAGGCCTGGGTGATGTGTGAGGGCTGCTGTAACAAAATCCCACAGTTCTAGAGTCCGATCGTCAGAACTCAAGCTGTCCACGGGGCCGCACCCTCCTGAGCCTGTTGGGAAGAGTTCGAGCTTGACCTTCCTGGTTCCTGCTGGTCTGCGGGCCGTCCTTGGCATTCTTTGGCCTTCGCTGTAGGCCTTCAGTCTCTGCTTCTGCCTTCCCTCTGCGTGTCTCTTTGTCTTTACATTGCATTCTTCTCCGTGTGTCTGTGTGACTTTTTCTTATAAGGACACCGGTCATGTTGGCTTAGGGCTCACCCTGATGACCTCATCTTAATGTGATTACTTCTGTGAAGACCCTGTTGCCAATAACGTGTCCTGGTGGAGATCGTCCTTCGTTCTAACCCTTCTTCATAGAGGCTGAATTTAGCTCTATCAATTAGTAATAGGACATCTATCACTCTAGTCGTTTCTGTATTTTTTTTTTTAAGATTATGTTTATTTATTTGACAGAGATCACAAGTAGGCAGAGAGGCAGACGGGGCGGGGAAGCAGGCTCCTTGCTGAGCAGAGAGCCCGATGCGGGGCTCGATCCCAGGACCCTGGGATCATGACCTGAGCCGAAGGCAGAGGATTTAACCCACTAAGCCACCCAGGCACCCCTCATTTTTAATTTTTTAAGGACCCTCCATACTGTTTTTCATGATAGTTGCATCAATTAAATGTCTGTCCACAGTGGACAAGGGTTCTTTGGTTTTTTTTTTTTTTTAAAGATTTTGTTTATTTATTTGACAGAAAGAGATCACAAGTAGGCAGAGAGAGAGGAAGGAAGCAGGCTCCCCGCCCAGCAGAGAGCCTGATGTGGGGCTCGATCCCAGGACCCTGGGATCATGACCTGAGCCGAAGGCAGAGGCTTTAACCCACTGAGCCTCCCAGGTGCCCCTGTTTTGTTTTGTTTTAAAGATTTTATTTATCTATTTGACAGACAGAGATCACAAGTAGGCAGAGGGGCAGGCAAAGAGAGAGAGGAAGGGAAGCAGGCTCCCTACTGAGCAGAGAGCCCGATGCGGGGCTCGATCCCAGGACCCTGAGACCATGACCTGAACCGAAGGCAGAGGCCCAACCCACTGAAACACCCAGGCGCCCCTGTTTTTGTTTTTAAGATCTATTTATTTGAGAGAGAATAAGAGAGAGCATGAGAGGGGAGGAGGTCAGAGGGAGAAGGAGACTTCCTGCTGAGCTTGGAGCCTGATGTGGGACTCAGTCCTGGGACCCTGGCATCATGACCCGAGCCGAAGGCAGTCCCTTAACCAGCTGAGCTACCCAGGTGCCCAAGGGTTCCCTTTTTGCCACATTCTCACCAACACTTAATATTTTTCTTTTTGGTAAATATTCATTCTAACAGGTGTGAGGAGGTTTCTCATTATGGTTTTTATTTTCATTTCCCTGAGTTTATTGATGGTGAGCATTTTTTCATGTACCCATTGGCCATGAAGTGCCAGATGGGTATATCTTCCTTGCAAAATGTCTGTTTAGACCCTCTGCCCATTTTTAAATTGGATTGTGGGGTTTTTGTTTTTTGTTTTCTTCTGTTGAGATGTATGAATTCTTTATATACTGTGGCTGTTAACCTTATCTGAAAAATGATTTTCAAATATTTCCTCTCACTGGGTAGGTTGCTTTTTCATTTTCTTGGTGGTTTTCTTTGCTGTGCAGCTTTTTAGTTTCATGTGTTCCACTTGTGTATTGTGGCTTTTGCTTCCTTTGCTTTTGTTGCCAAATCCAAAAAATCGTTGAGACTTAACATTAGAAAGCTTACCACCTATGTTTTCTTCTTCTTTCTCTTTTTTTTTTTTTTAAGGTTGTATTTATTTATTCAACAGACAGAGATCACAAGTAGGCAGAGAGGCAGGCAGAGAGAGAGGAGGAAGCAGGCTCCCTGAGCAGAGAGCTCGATGCGGGGTTCAACCCCAGGACCCTGGGATCATGACCTGAGTTGAAGGCAGAGGCTTTAACCCATTGAGCCACCCAGGTGCCCCACCACCTATGTTTTCTTCTAAGAGTGTTATGGTTTCAGGTTTTATGTCCAAGTCTTTGATCCATTTTGAGTTACTTTTTGTGTGTGGTGTAAGAAGATGGTCCAGTTTCATTCTTTTGTGTGTAGCTGTCCAGTTTTCCCAGCACCATTTGTTGATGAGACTGTCCTTGACTTGTTGCATGTTCTTTCTTGGCTTCCTTTTCATAAAGTCAATGGATCATATATGCAGGGGTTTATTTTTTGGAGAATAGAAAGTTAATCTGTTCCATTGATCTGTGTGTCTGTTCTTGTTCCAATATCCTACTGTTTTGATTACTATACCTTTGTAATACAGCTTGAAATCAGGGCCTGGGAATTCTTTTCAGTTCCTTTTTCAGTTGCACTCTATTTAATCTTTTATTTGTTTATCCCCCCCTTTGGGGGGAGGTTTATTCTTAATTCTAAACATTCTTCACTAGCTTTCTGAGAAAGGATAGAATGGATACATAGGAGATAACTTTTTTGAGTTCTTGTAAGTCTGAGAATATTTTAATTTTATTGTAGAATTACAGGATAGAATTTATTTTCTTTTAGAATTGAGGGCATTGCTTCATTGCCTTCCAGCTTCCAGTGTTGCTGCTGAAGTCCCACACCATCTGATCCTTTGTATGTGACCTTTTTCTATCTGAAGCTTTTAAGAGCTTATTCTTGACATGAATTTTCATGGTAATGTACCTTGGTGTGGGCTTTTTCTTCATTCTTTGTAAATGCATATGTTCAGCAAGATAAAATGTTGCAGCTGTTGCACCAAGAAAAAAGATGCTATTAAAAAGCAACATTCAGAAAACAAACAGAAACTTGGAAATGAACACTGTGTCAGTAAAATTGGAAACTTCAGTAGAGAAGGAGATGGAAGCTAAATTGGAGAAAATCTCCCTGGTGGGCTGAATGAAAGGACAGATCAGAAGTCACACCAGAGGGAGCGAAGCGGAGAGAGAAGGGCAGGGTAGGGGAGGAGAGAAGAGGGAAAAAGGGAAGAGAGGAGAGGGTGAGGTGGAGGAGAGGGAGAATGGGAGGGCACAGGGAAATTGGAGCACCAGTTCGGGAGAGGTTGTGTCTGTTAATGAGAGATGTTTTAGTAAAACATAACAGAAAATGGAGGGAAAGAAATTATAAAAGGAATAATATAAGATGATATTCTGGAATTGAAGGACACAGGTTTTCGTCTTTCTTGCTAGTAGCTTTTCTCAAAGGTCTGGTGTCCTTGGCCATGTGTATTTAAGAGTGAACTGTTAAAAATCTGACTGGGACCTGTGGCAAGAGGGCCGACCTTGTGACTGCTTCGGATTACAGTGAGGTGACTGTATTTTGTTGCAACCCCTGAATGTCTGTTTGCAGCATGTTCCGGGGTTGTCATTTCCCCCAGAGAATTCTTGAAACTCCTGCCTGCGTGGGTAGAAGCTTGGTGTGGCTCCGACAGATTGGGAGGCTGAGTCTCACTATTTGGTATATAGATCTTGACCTAAGTGCCCATTTCCAGTAAAGTAGGGTACTTACCTTACTCCTTTTGGCTGAGGTATCAAAGTATCAGTTTGGTATCAGTGTAAATTCTTTCTGGTTTATCCCCTCCAGACAGCACACTTCCCATCTTCTGTGGGGGCAGGAAGAGGATTTGGAGCACAGGGAGGGAGCAGGATCTGGGAGTGTAGGTCCTCTCTCTGAAGACTTTTAATGTTTCTTTAGTTGTTAGCCCTGCTCCCTCACCCCCTCCTTCATGGTGGCTGGTGCTTCTAATTTCTGAGCCTGTCAGGGATTCTGCTGAGAGAATCTGCTTGTTTCTTGTTGGCCTGTCTGTCACAGATAAGGCAGAGAAAGCCAAAACCTGAGATAGTTTTCATTCGTCCGTTTTCCTTCCAGAGTGTTTATGACAACTCTTCTTTGTTGCCATATCATTTCTCATCCCCTTTGTCCTGTGAGTTTATAACTTTTGAACTTCATTTTGCTATATTTTTAGTGAGAGGCTTCATGAGGACATAGAGATGAATGTCTATGTAAGCCCTGACCTTAGGGAATGTGGTCATTTGGTCCTTTGCCTGGCGTCCGTGCTCTGGGCCCAGTGCTCTTCCTGCTGCCAGAGACGCAGTAGTGCGGGGGACAGACCAACATCTTGCCTTCCTGGAGCACAAATTCTAGTAGTGAAGACAGAAACTAATCAAAATAAGTAAAGATACAGTATGTTAGATAGTGAGATGGGTTAAGGAAAGATATTTAAAAGAGATGTGGAGTAAGAAGAATTGTGGGGAAACTTGTAATCTTTGAGACGGATGGTCGGGAAGGCTTCTGTGAGAAGGAGCCATTTGAGTGAAGACGGCAAAAGGTGAAGAAGTGGATTGTGCAGTTATCTGGGGAGAACCTTATAGCAGGAGGAGGAATTGGAACAAAGGCTCTAAGGCAGCAGTGTGCACAGGTATCTGAGGAGGAGTGAGGAGGACCAGGGAAGCCAGATCTCACTGGAAGGGACTGGCTTTTCTACTGTGAGGTTGGAGGGTTTTAAGCAGAGGCATGATGTGACTTAACTGACCTTATAACAGAGCCATTGTGGCTGCTGTCCTGGGGATAGTCTGGGGATGGAGCAAGGACTGAGGCAGGGAGACCGGTTAGGAAGCTGTTGTAATATTCCAAGCCACTTGGGAGCTGTGAGTGGTTGGATTCTGGGTTTGCTAATGAATTGGGACATGGAATGTGAGACAGAAGAATAACAGATTATCTTAAGGGTCATGGCTCTCCAGCCTTTTGAAACTGTAGAACTTTGGTCTCATAGTAGTATTGAGTCTGTTAAATGGAATCTTCGCTAAATAATAGCCATAGAAATACTTTGAATAATTTGCCTAACAAACCATTAACTCTTCTTTTTTAAAGCTCTTCACAGAATACGGTCGTCTGGCAATGGATGAAATTTTCCAAAAACCCTTCCAGGTAGAATGCTAACTGTAAATGTAATTCATGTCTTTGTTTTATTTTATTTTTTTTAAGATTTATTTATTTTAGAGGGTGTGCCTGCGAGTTGGGGGAGGGTAGAGGGCGAGAGAGAATCTCAAGCAGACTCTGAGCCCCACATCGGGCTTGATCTCATGACCTGAGCCAAAACCAAGAGTTGAATGCTTAACTGACTGAGCCACCCAGGTGCCCCTTATGTCTTTGTTTTAGTTCAGAGATCAGCAGACTGTAGCCCACAGGCCACATCAGGCTAGCTGTCTTTATGTGACCTATGAGTTAAGAATAGTTTTTATATTTTTAAATGGTTGAAATAAAAAAAGTAATACTATTGGGCCACCTGGGTGTCCTTCGGCTCTGGTCATGATCCTCCCAGGGTTCTGGGATCAAGTCCTGCATCTGGCTTCCTGCTCAGCAGGGAACATGCTTCTCCCTCTCCCTCTGCCTCCCTGCTGCTCAAGCTTTCTCTCTCTAGCTTGCTTGCTCCCTCAGATAAATAATATCTTTTTAAAAAAAAAAAGTACTATTTCATGACATGTATAAATTAGCTGTAGACACTGACTTTTAAGTTGCAGATAAAATTTTATTGGAACATAGTTACACTCATTTGTCTATAGCTGCTGCTATTTTCCTTTTTTTTTTTTTTAAAGATTTTATTTACTTAATTTGAGAGACAGAGAGCGTGTGCAAGCAAGGGTGGAGGGAGAAGTGGATTTCCCAACTGAACAGGGAGCCTGATGTGGTATTCGATCCCAGGACCCTGAGATCGTGACTTGAGCTGAAGGCAGATGCTTAACCGACTGGGCCACCCAGGGGTCCTCCATAGCTGCTGTTTGTTACAGCAGTTTAAGATATTTACTCTTAGGTCCTTTATGAAAAGGTTTTCTGGCCCCTGCTTTAGCCAGTTGCTTCACAAGGATGAGAATGCATAGTAACCTCAATGAGATTAGGGGAGCTTTAAGTTCTATTATTTATTATTTAGTTTTCTTTCTAGTGTTAAAAGTAGATCTGATTTCATGATTAGCTGGTACTGTGTTGTTTTCTTGTCCTTTACTACATTCCTCATGTTTGCCTGTAGAGCAGAGTCCTGAATTTAATATCTTCTCCTCAATCTCTTCCTTCTGCTTTTGTCAACCCATGGGAACAAAAACAGCCAATAGGATATATTCACCTCACACTTGACTTCTACATGTCCTTCTAGTGTTTATAAGGTTTCTAAGACTTTACAGAAGAAATAAATCCTTCACAATTTTTTGCCCACTTTGAAAAAGCTGGCTCTATGTGAAGAAGTATTTCAGTCATATTGAAAATGAATGTATGCAACCTAATAATATGTTCTGTTCTTGTTCCTAAATAGACGCTGATGTTTTTGGTTCGAGACTGGAGTTTCCCTTACGAATACAGCTACGGACTAGAGGGAGGGATGTCCTTTTTGGATAAACGTCTACAGGTAAGTAGAAATATAATCTTCTGAGGAATTACCTATAAAGAAAGTAGTGGTAACTTTCTCATTTGCCTCTAGCTGTAGTATTTAAACCAGAATATGGAAAATTCTGTTAAGTGTGTTAAATATTCACGAATATTGGTGCATAATGGTATTCACATAGGAGCGAAGAACCTGGGTATGGAGCACACAGGGATTACAGGCAAGGACTCTGGCTTTGAAGGAATTTTGAAGGACTCTGGACTCTGGCCCAAGCTTTGATCGTGGTTTCTGTTTCACATTTTGCACCAGGTTCTATATGTGCCTTTAGAATGTCATATTCAGGGGCGCCTGGGTGGCTCAGTGGGTTAAAGCCTCTGCCTTCGGCTCAGGTCATGATCTCAGGGTCCTGGGATCGAGCCCCACATCAGGGAAGCAGGGGGCCTGCTTCCTCCTCTCTCTCTGCCTGCCTCTCTGCCTACTTGTGATCTCTGTCAAATAAATAAATAAAATCTTTAAAAAAAAAAAATGTCATATTCAGAACTTTTGTTCTGTTCTTCAAAATTCTGTTTTGGGGTAGATATAAACAGGCTTAGCTTGCTCTCCAAAATTAAAATACAGGAGTCCTTTGTCAATTCCTACTAACTAGTTAGATCCTCCTTCATGCCCACAAACCATCTCTCGTTCTTCGGAAGCGTTGTGCAATACTGTTTATTAAGAAACTCCTCAGTCCCTGTTCTTTGGTTGCTGTGGGAGCCAAACTGTGGTTAATCAAATGTATGCATTTATTGCTTCTAGGGTTCTGAGTTTTCTTACTGGACAAAACCTAGGCTGCTATGATCCATATCAGTTGGGAAATCTTTCCTTTGTCCTATACTAGTGGTTCCTAGTGAAGAAAAACAAATGGTCTTTTGTAAATTGTTGGTCTTCATTGGCAGGTAAAAGAACATCAACACGAGGAAATTCAGAACGTCCGAAATCACATTCACTCGTGCTTTTCCAACGTCACCTGTTTTCTCCTACCACACCCTGGACTCCAGGTGGCCACAAGCCCTGACTTTGATGGGAAATTGAAAGGTGTGTTACAAATTATGTTACTTTAGACCTGTGATTCAATTTTTGGAATTAAGTAGTGACCAGAGATTGTCAGGCATGGATCCAGCGAGTGCTGCAGAGGGACAGCATGTTAACTTAGAGAGAATGGTACTAAGAGTCCACTTCAGTTTCTGCTTCTGACTTGGTGTGACCATTAGAGTTCATCTAAACTTTTCCATCTGACATGGTGGTGGTCAGATTCATTAATCATCTGTGTAAGAGGCCTGTTGTAATTACTGGCTTATGAGAAATAAAAGCACTAAAGAAAGGAACACTAAACATTGGTCACCTGATACTTATCAAGTACAATTAAGTGTCCAAAAGGAAGGTAATGCGATGCGTGGCATGGCTGCGTGTTTTCATCTTTGTGATTCGTGCAGAGCCTGGTGCTGGGTCATATGTGCATGTCAGGAAGTGGTGACTAAGTAGCAGCTTAGAGAAATTAGAGTCGGGACTCTTGGATTCCATTCTCTTATTTTTGTTCCTTATTCATTAAGGCCTTGAGTCATGTAATGCCCAGCCTTCAGTTTACATGTGTTAAACTGGCCCCTTTGTTTACAAACTTATCTGAGCTTCTCCGGCACCAGGAAAGTAGCAGTAGAAGTAGCTGCCATTTCTTAAGGCTCCGCTGTATCTCCCGCCGCTTCTCTTTGGGCTGCTCTAACAAAATGCCTTACATTGGGTGGCTTACCAACAACAGACATTTATTTCTCATGGTTCTGGAGGCTGAAAGTCCAAGGTCAGGGTGCCAGCACGGTCAGGAGAGGGCTGTCTTCCTGTTCTCAGACTTCTGGTTGTACCCTCATGCGTGGAAGGGCTACGGAGCTCTGTGGAGTCTCTTATAAACCTGCTAGTGCCATTCAGAAGGGTTCTGCCCTATGACCTAATCACTGCTCATACCTGCCCCACCTGCCAGTACCATCCATCCCCTGTAGGGGCTAGGATCTCCACATACAAATTTGGTGGGGACACAAACATTTAGACCACAGCAGCAGTGCTGGGCTAGTTTACTGTCCTGCTTCATGTTCCCAGTGATTCCATCAGCTGATACTGTCTCCTTTATCTCACAGATGGAGAAACTGGCTTAGGAAAGTTAAGGAACTTGCTCAGAGCACTCCAATAGTAAGTGGGGGCGGAGGGGCAGGGTAGAGATGCACATCTAGATTTTTTTTTTTTAAGATTTTATTTATTTATTTGACAGAGATCACAAGTAGGCAGAGAGGCAGGCAGAGAGAGGGGGAAGCAGGCTCCCTGCTGAGCAGAGAGCCTGATGCGGGGCTCGATCCCAGGACCCTGGGATCACGACCCGAGCCGAAGGCAGAGGCTTTAACCCACTGATCCACCCAGGCATCCCACATCTAGATTCTTTTTGCCCCAAAGTCCTATTGGGCTAAAAAAGAAGTTCTTCTGTTACTTTGGGGAAATAATTTAAATGTTTAGTTTCCACGAGAACTTGGCTTTTGAAGTGGGAGTTTTTCATAGTCTCCTAAGAAACATAAACTACATCATTTTCGACTTACTTGACTGATTTGATCCAAGAACATTAACGTACTAGTTCGGTTTAAGATTTACATTCCAGCTGGTCTTCATAGTGCAGAAGAAACGGAGTTTGAGAGACTTAGTTTTGCCTTCTGTTTGTCACTGTGTGGTGTTTTTATGGGGTTGGCAGCTTTCCTGAGCAGGAGACTTCTAGAGCCTGTTAGATGGCAATTCAGAAATCTGAATTTGGGGTCTAGCTTTAGAGAGAAGTCTGCTCAGGCAATACTGGGGCTAGAACCTTTTACCTGAAAAGCAGTTGCAAGTGACTTTTCTGAGTGGAGTCTAGAGAAAGTTGAGCATGTAGGTGATGTGTTCCTTTAGGCTTTTAACACTCTTATTAGACATACCTTTAGGTTTGTTCATCACTGGGAGGGGAGGTGTCTGGGGCGTTCCTAAATGAGGCTGCTGGGGAGGGGGTGGATTCAGTGACTCCCTCATGCAGTTGAGCCTCAGCGTGCTCTCAGGTCATCGGGTAGAAATACACACAAAGGCATTTCTCCATATTTTCAAACATTTTAATGTTTCAAAACATTGTTTTAAATTCACTTTTGGGGGCACTGGGTGGCTCAGTGGGTTAAAGCCTCTGCCTTCGGCTCAGGTCACGACCTCAGGGTCCTGGAATTAAGCTCCGCATCAGGCTCTCTGCTCAGCGGGGAGTCTGCTTCCTCCCCTTCTTGGCCTGCCTCTCTGCCTGCTTGTGATCTCTTGGTCAATAAATAAAATCTTGAAAAAAAAAAAAATTCACTTTTATGTTATCCCAGGAGATAGGAAGAGCTTTTTAACATTTTCAAACCCCGACTTTTGAAGTTTTGTATCACTGTTGGGTGTGCATTTGTATCTGTTTCCTAGGACTGCCAACAAAGTACCACAAACTGGGCGGCTGAGAACAGCAGAAATTTACTGCCTAACAGGTTTAGGAGACCGGAATTCGGAAATCAGGGCGTCCATAGTGATTCCTTCTGGGGGCTCTGAGGGAGAATCTGTTCCCAGCTTCTCGCCTAGCTTTTGGGGTTTGCTGGTGGGCCTTGGCGTCCTTTGGCTTGGAGCTGTGTGTGTCACTCTGGTCTCTGTCATATGGCCACCGCCTTTCTGTGTCTCTGTGTGTTCTCTTCTCTTATAAGGACACCACTGTTTGGATTTAGGCTGCCCCCAATCCAGTATGATCTCGACTAGTTACATCTGTAAATTTGCAAGGTCATGTCCTGAGATTCCAGGATGACATGCATTTTGGGGGATACTGTTCAACCCTGTATGTATTTAAATATGTACAGCTTATCACTCAATATTCAGTGTACTGATTTTCCTATTTATAAAATAGAGAGCAGATTCTGTACAAGTAGTTGTTAGTGTCGTAATTATGTACTGTTTGTTTCCCTCATTCATCATTGAGCTTTAAAACACACTTATGGATACGTTAAAATCTTACTCTTACATGAAAAGTCAAGTCCAGAGGAAGAAGTACAGATGGTCAGTATGTGCTCATGAAAATACAGCTAACATCACAGTAATTGAGAAAGTGCAAATGTATTGGTACAAATCCATAGTCTTTATGGGTCAGTCTCAAAACTTAAAATGTTTACATCCTTTGATCCGGTATTACACTTTTAGGAAAGTATCTTAAGGAACTATCCAAATAAGTAGATAAAAATACATGGATAAGGGCATATATCACTGTAGCATTATTGTAATAGGGAATAATTAGAAACAAATGGGTGTTCTTGAGGAACTGGTTAAGTTATGATACATTTGCACTTTTCAAAGTTTATTTTAAAAGTTATTTAGTCTTTTTTTTCTTCTTTTTTTTAAGAGAGCAAGGAGGAAGGGGGATAGAGAATCTTAAGCAGGCTCTACACTCAGTGTAGAGCCTGACGTGGGGTTCCATCTCATGACCCTGAGATTATGACCTGAGCCAAAATCAAGAGTCCGATGCTTAACCAACTGAGCCACCCAGGTGCCCCTATTCAAAGTCCTTTAAAAGATTAAGGTATAGATGAATCTATTTATCTGTGTTTACACAGATGTCTAGGACATATTATTACATGTGAAAAGATTGCATAATAGCATATGTTGTATGATCGTATTCATTTAAAAAGGTACATTTATAACTATGTTTTTAAAAGAAAAGATTTGAAAAATAAAAATTTCCTTTTTTGCTTTACTTTAAAAATATTTAGGGGCACCTGCGTGGCTCATTTGGTTAAGTGTCTGCCTTCACCTCAGGTCATGAATCTGGGGTCCTGGGATCAAGCCCCGTGTCGGGCTGTTGCTTAGAGGGGAGCCTGCTTCTCCTCCTTCTCCCTCTCCCTCTGCCTGCTGGTCCCCCTGCTTGTGTCCTCACGCACTCTCTCAGTCAAATAAATAAAATCTTTTTTAAAAAATATATGTCTTTATAGTCTGCCTTGTGTGTCTGTTTCAGGAACTGTAGTCATTAGGAGGATTGTTTATAAAGAATTCTTATTAGCTCTGCAGAGGTTTATGTACTTTTTAGGGGCTTTGCAGATGGATATTTTGTAATTGTAGGGAACCTTTTTAACAAGCTTTGAAGGGTTTTGAGTGAAGCATAAATTGGGCACAGTGGCTTGGAGTATTTGGCAAGTGCTTGATTAAGAACCACATAAACTTTATTGTGGGGGACCTGTCACCGGATCCGATGTAGTTTTCAGAGTTAAAGAAAATGCCTACGTGTTGTCTTTTTTCAAGTATATACTTGTATGATGACTCGGTTGAGATCCTGCAAGCCCCATTCCGTATAGCCTGGAAAAGACATCATTTGCTTGAGAGCAGTTAGGGCTAATCCACAGAAGGACCTTAATGTCATTGCTATAGAACATTTACATTTAATAAGAGTTACATTTTCTGCAAATGTTCTCTTAAGTACTTGAGGGATTATTTTAGTGATTTTATTTTGCTGTATTTTTTTTTTCCCCCCAAAGAATGACCATTTGTTCAGAGGGGAACAACAGTCCTAGTTTTGGTTTAATCGATGCTCATCTGCTGCTTCCTGTTAGCTAGATGAGCTCAGTTTTAAGACCCTTTCAACAGACACAGGTGACTCTGTCGTCATCATAAAGAAAGCTGTCATCTTTGTGTTTTCTAGAGCAGAGAGACCTAATGCAGTAGCCACTGAGTTGTTTACTTAGAAATTAAACAGAAGAGTTTGTAGGGCACGATCTTCTTTGACACCATGAGATTTTGAGATCGTCTGTCAGGGTAGTTCTTGTCTGTTCTGAGTCTAAAACCAGTGTTTTGGTACAGGCTTTGTAGAAGCATTAATAGCTGAGGGTCTATTAAATCTGGGTAAAATCAAATATAGGAACAGTCTGGTGCTAGATTGTGCTAGTTTCTTGAATGAAATGTTTTTGAAATTCTTAGTCTTTTAGTATGATAAAAGTTGAAGCCATAAAAAAAGGGTGGTTTTTGTTTTTGTTTTTGTTTTTTGGAAT